CAGCAAATTAACAATATAAAGTCAGGTATTAACAATATAAAGTCAGCTAATTAACAATATAAAGTCAGCTAATTAACAATATAAAGTCAGCTATTTAACAATATAAAGTCAGCAAATTAACAATATAAAGTCAGCTAATTAACAATATAAAATCACCTATTCAAAAATATAGTCAGGTATTAACAATATAAAGTCAGCTAATTAACAATATAAAGTCAGCTAATTAACAATATAAAGTCAGCTAATTAACAATATAAAGTCAGTTATTTAACAATATAAAGTCAGCAAATTAACAATATAAAGTCAGGTATTAACAATATAAAGTCAGCTAATTAACAATATAAAGTCAGGTATTTAACAATATAAAGTCAGCTAATTAACAATATAAAGTCAGTTATTTAACAATATAAAGTCAGCAAATTAACAATATAAAGTCAGGTATTAACAATATAAAGTCAGCTAATTAACAATATAAAGTCAGGTATTAACAATATGAAGTCAGGTATTAACAATATAAAGTCAGCTAATTAACAATATAAAGTCAGATATTAACAATATAAAGTCAGCTAATAAACAATATAAAGTCAGGTATTTAACAATATAAAGTCAGGTATTTAACAATATAAAGTCAGGTATTTAACAATATAAAGTCAGGTATTAACAATATAAAATCAGGTATTAACAATATAAAGTCAGCTAATTAACAATATAAAGTCAGGTATACAACAATATAAAATCAGGTATTTAACAATATAACGTCAGGTATTTAACAATATAAAGTCAGCTATTTAACAATATAAAGTCAGCTAATTAACAATATAAAGTCAGTTATTTAACAATATAAAATCACCTATTCAACAATATAAAGTCAGCTATTTAACAATATAAAGTCAGCTAATTAACAATATAAAGTCAGGTATTTAACAATATAAAATCACCTATTCAAAAATATAGTTAGGTATTTAACAATATAAAGTCAGGTATTAATATAAAGTCAGGTATTTAACAATATAAAGTCAGGTATTTAACAATATAAAGTCAGGTATTAATATAAAGTCAGGTATTTAACAATATAAAGTCAGGGATTTAACAATATAAAGTCAGGTATTTAACAATATAAAGTCAGCTATTTAACAATATAAAGTCAGCTATTTAACAATATAAAGTCAGCTATTTAACAATATAAAGTCAGCTATTTAACAATATGAAGTCAGCTATTTAACAATACAAGCAGTCTATCGGCTGAGATAGCTCCGCTGTTAGCAATGCACATTTCAATTAAAGAACTGAAGACATCATTAGAAAATGAACAATGTGTATAGTATCAAAGCAATCGGGCTTGCGGTTTTTAACAAGAAGTCGAAAATATCACTTTTTACCAAAAATGACAAATATATTCACCAAAATTAGAGAATTGAAGATATCATCACAAAATGAACAAATCTGAGAGAGGTCCACATGTAGTACCTATATATGTAGTATCAAAGCAATTGGACATGCTGTTTTTAACAAGAAGTCAAAAATATCACTTTTTACCAAAAATGACAAAAATATTCACCAAAATTAGAGAACTGAAGATATCAACATGAAATGAACAAACCTAAGAGAGGTCTACCCATTCAGGCATTCAAGAAGAAGTCGAAAAAGTAAAACATTGACACGGACGACGACGACGACGGACAATCACTCATATGATAAGCCCCGCTCGACAAAGTCGACAGCGGAGCTAATAAAGTCAGGTATATAACAATATAAATTCTGGTCTTTAACAGTATAAAGTCAGGTATTTAACAATATAAAGTCTAACCTGAGAAAAAAGAATGTATCCACAGAGTATGTACCATTGACAATGACTTGGAATGTAAATAGCTTCAGATAACCAAACAAAGTCACAAAGTTATCTGTAAATAAAAAAACATAAAATTTAATGTTGTCATGCTACATGTATTATAATGATAAAACAGTTACATTACATGTTCCATAAATACATTGTTGAATGCATGACACAAAGACTGGCATTATAATGACAAAAAACACAAAGTCACTGTTTCCAGGGAAACAAGTGCAGGTACATTCACTCGTACATGTACCCCCCAAATTTAATTTGCATTTTGTTTGATGGAATCTGTCATTTAGCAAAATATGAAGAATCTGTGAAGTTTTTAAAGTTCTCTTATGTTCACATATCAGCTACATGCATCAGTAGTGAAAAATTAGATAAGATAAATGCAGTCCACTGTTACATTGCAAGATAATTGGAAAGCACATTTACATTTCAAGATAAATGCAGCACACAGTTTCATTTATGTGTTTCCTTTCCACCTACTCATCTAGCTGGACCTTCTTATATGCAAAAGTTGATATCAGGACACATATGCATCAGGACAGTAAACGATAAGAATTAGTGGCGTGTACTTAACTTGAAGGATTGCATGGTTAGTTGACATATAATATCCAAAGGCTATTGTGAGAAAACAGCAGGGTTTATCCGACTATCATGGTTACCCACTCTCTGGTTTTGGTGCTGATATTTTTCTCATTAATGAAAATCATTGCAACAGCAAGAAGAATAATTTTCGTTACTGATCGAGGCAACTATCATTTGATGCATCTGTCATCCATTGTTCCAAAAATTAGCATATTCAGATTATCAGTGTGCTATATTTATCAGCCAATCAACATCAAGATCACTAACTGACTGTGGAGGTAAAATGTTGGCAGTAACCAAGATGTCTATAGAGAAAGGGTAACTATATGAAAATGGCCAGTTGGGTACCAATGCAGGCTAGTAATACCATGAAGACTCACCAACTATCATGGGAACAGCGGGCCACAGAAATGAATGGCCGAGTATAACCCACAGCATGCTAATCACTCTTATACCATGTATACATCTTATTGCCTTCTCGCTCTGGTGTGAATTCAGCAATGTCTGTAGATTTCGATTCAAAGCGAAACAGAGAAAGAATTCTACCAGTATTTCTAGATAAATAAAAAAAAATAAAAAGAGTTTATACAGCCAACAAAGGTTAACCACGATGAAAAAGGCCGGGGTGTCAAAAAAAAGTGGAGGGGGGGAAGTAGAATATTGGGGGGGTAACATTTCAGACTAAACTATATATTGAAACTTGGTAGTATCGGTAGCAAGCTACATAATACAAAGTTGGCCTTATGTTAAAGTGTCTGTGAAATGCCCACCCACATGTTTCCCATTTTAGATATGTGCCCCACTGAAATGGGCAGTTATTGATTTTTGTTGTTGAAAATGATTACTTGTATCTAAGTAAATTTGAGATATTTCTAAAGCTGTAGCCACGCCAACCTATCCTGAAACTGTAGACTGTTTCCAGATTTCCGACTCTTGCCAACGTTAATGCGCCATCAAATGTCAAAATTTTAGAGGAAGTCATACTCTTGGGCCATATTTTTATAAGACTGCATCATTCAACATACTTTTAAGCGATATACATTTTTTTTTTTTGAA